AGATCCCGCAACGTATGTGATACGCCCACGGATATGTTCCAAATCCTAGACTCATTAACTTTTGACTTCACGTAGCCTCAGAATTAAAAACAAAAAGGATTAAGGCCAGGTGACCTTGGTGCCCATACCACGGGTCCTCTTTCTTTCTAATACAGTAAGGCAAAATGTCAGAGGAAAGATTTGATTAATAAATAACTATTAATTTTCTTTTTTCCTTTTCATCGCACATTTCACCAAACTGGATTCAGTATCAAGGAGATGAGAAACTGGACACAGACATACCAACCAAGTTGGAGGCTGTACTTTTCACCCGTACTGGGACCAAGTTCCTTTGGCTTGTGCTTCAGCCTTTATTTTATGCTCTTCGCCCTCCTGTTGTTTATCCGAAGGCCCTGACAACCCTTGAGTACGTCTGCATCATCATCCAGTTATCCTTTGATGCAATAATTATTCATTTTTTCGGTAAGTCCCATGCCTCGATATCATTAGGTACCGTTGCGAATGCTTCCGTTTTGTCTAAGATAATATTTCGATGTTGCAGCCAGAGCTATATTAATGACAGCAAGTAGATTTAATGATATGAGTTAAAGGGGAAATTTCCCTATAATCCGTACAGATACGTTTCATTGGGATTTCTAGCGAACATGGTCTAGTTTCTGAGCATTTTAACTTGATCAATTGATGCATAAACCCATCTAAGAATTTTTACCGCATGGTTCATCCTTCAGTCCTTGAAACGTAACATTTTAAGTTCCATGATAGAGACGTCAGTACATTTTAGAGCTTTAGGCGTTCCCTTGTCACAGTCAATGTTTATTTAGTTTAGTTTCGTCCTGACTCTCCAACTGTTTCATTGAACCCTTTCCTTGGAAAGGCTGGTGATTCCATCCAACAGAACATTTCGCTTCCTCCCGTTGCAGCAGGTTTACCTGCCACTAGTTTGCTTATGAATACATAATTAATCAGAATGTGTTCTGCTTTAAAATGGGCGGATTTTCGTAGGGACCTTGTGACTTACTTAAGTACATGATATCGGCATTTTGTGCGAGTTGAAGCAACCAATAGCTTGCAATGGTATACCACGGAGTAGAGACCAGGAGTCCGTTTAAGAACAACGTTCTTTATGCTTAAACTTTCTGCAAACCAAGAAAAAATAATTTTCAATAAGATCCGCATTGTTTTCACAAGTAGCTGCCAAATGTGATCCTAACTGGTCAATCTCCCCGTACAAAAGTATCATGCCGAATATTAGGAACTGAATATAGAGGATAGTTTTCTGGAGATTTTCTCTCATTCAGTTTTCTCATTTTCAATGTTCTGCTTGAATGTATTACACATTTTCGGCCACATTACCTGGCGTGAGATATCTAGAGTGATATATATATACCTAGTATATATATATACACATTTTTTTTCTCTCTCTCCAGGATGGAGATCATTGTTATACTTGCTTGGGGGATGCTTTCTGGCAATGGGTGTCCATCCCGTTGCTGGCCATTTCGTATCTGAACATTACATGTTCAAGAAAGGATTCGAAACATACAGCTATTATGGTCCTCTCAATTGGATAACCTTCAATGTGGGATATCACAACGAACATCACGACTTCCCATATGTTGCTGGTTCAAGACTCCCAGAAGTGAGTCAACGCTATAACGTCGCCTCCTCTTGGCGCATATCTTCCATTGAATCTGGATTTCTTTACATCACGACAGGTGAAGCGGATTGCACCAGAGTTCTATGACGATCTGCCTCAGCACAACTCCTGGGTCAAAGTCCTTTACGACTTTGTCACCGATCCCGACATTGGTCCTTATGCTAGAATCAAAAGGAAGCACAAGGGCTTAGATTAAGTTCTTATTTCTTGGACCGTCTATTTCTATAAATTTTATTTTGGCCTCATTTGAATTTTCGGTGCTGGCAAGAATAATATTTCCTAAAGAATTTTTCCCTTAAAATTAAGCTTGAGCAGACAAAAAGCGAAAGGTTGCGTGAATCCAGAAACCTAGTCTGCTTTTATTTTCCAATGGGTACGTTTATTTTGCTTGTAAATTTAATATAATCTTCAAGTCCTTGAAGGAGACACCATAATGAGTTAAAATGAACTATCTACAAGAAATTCAACATGAGTGTCTAAAGTACTAAGAAGTTACTTGGTTGTCATTCAGAGAGAGTTTCGCTATTGTCAAAATAAATTCAGAAGATAAGACTGAACTTGAAGTGGTAAGATAGAGTGGTAACATGAATAGTGACTTTTTCATAATTCCGACTCCGTCTTCAATTGATATTGATCTTTTTTGAAAATAAATAGAGAAAGTCGGCATTTGGTCGGTGTACTTCCTCCTTTAATTTACTGAGCATTTTCATTCACCAAATTTTTCTCGTGCTCCTTACGAGGCTTACTCCGTAGCCTTCCTTGCTTATTATTCGTATTTTGCGGTAGTGAAAAATGAATTGCCACTTAGTGGTGACTTCTTCATTACTAAAAAGAAGGCCCCATTCCGATTGCAGGGAAGTTAATGAGATATCTGGATTTTGAAAAGCATGACACCTTGTACGCATGATAACATTAATGAAATGATGCAAATACATTTTTAAAGGCTTTCCTCTTTTTTCAACTCTTCTCTCCTCCCACAGACGTTTCATATCCCACCACATCGACTGGGTGCCGCCAACCATTGCTTCAGTCTCACGTCAAGACAAGATTTCAGGATGAATATGCATCATACATTAGACAACCAAAGACCCAGACTCCGATCCGAAAGCAATAGCAATTCATGAATCCGATATTACTCAAACACGACGTTCAGCAACACGCGAGACGAGACTGAAGCCCTCACGCAAAGCCTAAATGAACGACGGCTAATTTCATTTTTCGTCGTGAGGCTGTGGTTTGGGAACTTCAAAAATGGCGATTTTCGTGATCTTCAAGTCGATATTTTCTTCTTTGGTTGGAATATATATTTCTTTCCATAAAACACCCCCAGAGCGATAATCCGGATGGGAGGTGGGGGGGGGGGGGAAGAAAAAAATACCGTTATGAAATTCTCTGGCTCAAAAAACGAGATTTAATGCTCTCGAGATTTAATTAAAGATTTAACTAAAGATTTAACGAGATTTAATGTTTGTAGACAAGGCCCATCCCAATATACGAGGGTCAGTCAAATGAAAAGGAGAAAATGGCGATATAAAATAATTCCCTATTGAAGGACGTCCAATGCATTCAGTGTCTTTTTGCTGAGATTACGTGAATATCTGTCATAGCTGGCAACACCACGCAATTAGAAGGAACACGCGATAAATTAAGAATCGCAGCGCTCACAGTGCCTCGTGCGCCCAAAGAAGCCCGGCGTGCTGCAATTCAATTTCCAACTGCTGAAGGTGTGTCACACATCAAAATCCATTCTCAAATGAATGCTGTTGAGACCAACAGCTTTTTACAGCGGCGGCGCAAACGTTTCCGAAGCGAGCGCGAGAGTTTGAAGGATCACTCACTCCCAAGTCGGGTCGACGATATCGTCACAAAAATGATCACAATGGTGGGCGAACTCATACATACAACATGAACATAACTCATACATACCACATGTTGGTTCAAACAGCAACCACATAAATTGTATGAGGCCGGTTTACGCTATTTTGCGAAGCGTTGGAATCTGTGCCTCAACAATGGCGGGGAATTTTTTAATATGGAAATAATGCACTCACTGCAAGAAAAGTAATCATTATTGTTTTCATTTGACTCACCCATATATATTAATCTCTAGTAGTCTTTCAGAAAGAGGAATCTTTTCTACACCGAGAGATGGAAAGAATCATATCAGGGTATCCCGCACGAAAGCTGAAGAAAAAAGAATGAAGGGAAAATCGTGTTCATCAAATTGTTTCTTCCTAATCCGACTGCGAAGTGCGTGAATACTTTCGTGATGTGGCACATAACGTCCAGTTTTGAATGCCGCATGTCAGAGGTTATCACATTTAAAACTGCCAATTAGTTTGCCATTCGAGAAAAGTGGACCAAGTGCAGTTTTCCCTTGTACGACATGACTCGTGCTTCCCTTCTTCGGCAAAGCGCGTTTTTATTGCTTCATTGACGGAATAAATTAAGTCCAATTGCAACTTTTCTCTCTTTCGACATTTCGACTTTCAGCAGTTCATTCATTCGTCGTTCAAGTATTCGACATAGTTGGTAATCGACAATCTGACAGTCGGCATGTGTGTTCTCGACGGGATACTCTTTGCTCCATCTTGATATGGCTCCCATGGCCAAAAAGGTTTCCAACCCCTGTCCAAGTGAGGGTCCAAGTCAAGTCGCATAGATAGGGGCCGATGAGTTTCTTGCAAGAACTTTTAAGGTCTCAAAGAAGAGCTATTGGCGGAGCTGTTTTGAGCGTTGTTTTTTCTTCTTTTTTTTTAAGTCAAGCCATTTCAAGTTTGGTTGTTTCACCAAATGCTTCTAACTTCAAAGGAGTGTAAGGCAGTATTGTTAGAGCTGGGAATAAGTTTTATTGGCGAGTCATTTGTTTTCTGCATTCTTCGATCGACATTCAGTTTCTGTCTATTCATGTAGGAATTTCTAGAGGGAAATAAGACGCGAAACGTCAGACAACATGCGTAGTGGTCACGCCAGAGAGGAGTAGATAGTTATTTTCTTTCATTTGCGATCAAATTATATATTTTTTAAAGTACATCCACAACTGAGTCCCTGTGCACAATAGCTCAACTGTATAATCTAGGACACTGCTTGCCACCTGTTCCGTCACACCAGCGAACTTTTTTCTCTCTCTATTTTTCCCAAAAATGATAAGATTATGATTTCCTATGATTTTTCAAGTACGGAACATTAATCCTGCAAATCGACGCATATGCATTCCAGTCCTCTCCTGCTACCAATTCCTTACTAGTAATTAATCTTGAAGATTAATTACTAGTAAGAAGATGCGCCACCACTCTATCCTCTTCATACTTTTCCTCTTCTTCCTAACTATAATAAGGGGGCAGTGCTCGTTTCCCATTCCTGATGTCATTCCTCCCTGCACCTGCTTCCCAGGAAATGAAACCTCATCGGCGTGAAATGATCCAGCGAAAATCCACTTACTTTCAACAAGAGCATACGTAGCTGTTACCTTCAAGTGTGCAATGGATATGGAATTGTGGCTTCATCGCTCAACATATATTTATCTTTCCCTCACATAATGATGCTATATTAAGATGATTACAAAATCGTTCTGAGCAAGAAAAGNAAGAAAAAAATACCGTTATGAAATTCTCTGGCTCAAAAAACGAGATTTAATGCTCTCGAGATTTAATTAAAGATTTAACTAAAGATTTAACGAGATTTAATGCTTGTAGACAAGGCCCATCCCAATATACGAGGGTCAGTCAAATGAAAAGGAGAAAATGGCGATATAAAATAATTCCCTATTGATGGACGTCCAATGCATTCAGTGTCTTTTTGCTGAGATTGCGTGAATATCTGTCATAGCTGGCAACACCACGCAATTAGAAGGAACACGCAATAAATTAAGAATCGCAGCGCTCACAGTGCCTCGTGCGCCCAAAGAAGCCCGGCGTGCTGTAATTCAATTTCCAACTGCTGAAGGTGTGTCACACATCAAAATCCATTCTCAAATGAATGCTGTTGAGACCAACAGCTTTTTACAGCGGCGGCGCAAACGTTTCCGAAGCGAGCGGGGGAGTTTGAAGGATCACTCACTCCCAAGTCACGTCGACGATATCGTCACAAAAATGATCACAATGGTGGGCGAACTCATACATACAACATGAACATAACTCATACATACCACATGTTGGTTCAAACAGCAACCACATAAATTGTATGAGGCCGGTTTACGCAATTTTGCGAAGCGTTGGAATCTGTGCCTCAACAATGGCGGGGAATTTTTTAATATGGAAATAATGCACTCACTGCAAGAAAAGTAATAATTATTGTTTTCATTTGACTCACCCATATATATTAATCTCTAGTAGTCTTGCAGAAAGAGGAATCTTTTCTGCAGCGAGAGATGGAAAGAATCATATCAGGGTATCCCGCACGAAAGCTGAAGAAAAAAGAATGAAGGGAAAATCGTGTTCATGAAATTGTTTCTTCCTACTCCGACTGCGAAGTGCGTGAATACTTTCGTGATGTGGCACATAACGTCCAGTTTTGAATGCCGCATGTCACAGGTTATCACATTTAAAACTGCCAATTAGTTTGCCATTCGAGAAAAGTGGACCAAGTGCAGTTTTCCCTTGTACGACATGACTCGTGCTTCCCTTCTTCGGCATAGCGCGTTTTTATTGCTTCATTGACGGAATAAATTAAGTTCAATTGCAACTTTTCTCTCTTTCGACATTTCGACTTTCAGTAGTTCATTCATTCGTCGTTCAAGTATTTGATATAGTTGGTAATCGACAATCTGACAGTCGGCATGTGTGTTCTCGACGGGATACTCTTTGCTCCATCTTGATATGGCTCCCATGGCCAAAAAGGTTTCCGACCCCTGTCCAAGGGAGGGTCCAAGTCAAGTCCCATAGATAGGGGCCGATGAGTTTCTTGCAAGAACTTTTAAGATCTCAAAGAAGAGCTATTGGCGGAGCTGTTTTTGACGAGGTGTATGGTGGGTCACCTATGTTTCATGCGTTGTTTTTTCTTCTTTTTTTTTAAGTCAAGCCATTTCAAGTTTGGTTGTTTCACCAAATGCTTCCAACTTCAAAGGAGTGTAAGGCAGTATTGTTAGAGCTGGGAATAAGTTTTATTGGCGAGTCATTTGTTTTCCCGTAAGAAGCTAGCTGTAAGTCAAAGACAGATAAGTACATCCTTAAAGATCTCCCTTTATTCTGCGCTTTGCAGTCTGTTGTACGCATCACCAGTGCGGTCTCTCCTCATCTATCAATAAAAGAAAGATTTGCGATCAAATTATATATTTTTTAAAGTACATCCACAACTGAGTCCCTGTGCACAATAGCTCAACTGTATAATCTAGGACACTGCTTGCCACCTGTTCCGTCACACCAGCGAACTTTTTTCTCTCTCTATTTTTCCCAAAAATGATAAGATTATGATTTCCTATGATTTTTCAAGTACGGAACATTAATCCTGCAAATCGACGCATATGCATTCCAGT